GAGCTTGGACACAATATGACCCTCGCTCTGCCTGTGCAGTAGGAACGGGAACATCCCCACACTTTGCCTCTTCGTAACAAAGCCAGAACTTTCCTTGTGGCGCTTCCTTGGCTGTTAAGTGTTCTTGCATCGGGCAACCAGGTTAGCCACGACACCTCATCCCATACACTTTTAATGCTAGTTGGGGCCTTCTAAAGAAGAGGAAAATTGCCTGGAACCTCCCAAGACACCCAGGTGCAGACATGCATAGGAGCATGGCACTTTAGCTGATCAGAAGACAGCTCTGTGTTGCACAAAATGAGCTCCTTTATTCCAGGTACTGAACAACTGTGTATGCGGTAAGCGGGTCAGAAGAACGGGTCACAACTGATGAACAAAACCAGGCTGGCTTAGAAAGCAGAGGGTCAGATGACCCTGTGTTGTGGGAAGCGGGAACACTGCGTGCTGCTGCAGCTCCCTTAGCTGAGGTTTGAGTGGAAGTCGGGCTCTGAAACACAGGTGACTGAGGCTCCCGCAGCCATGGCCAAGCTTTCGCACAGCACTCTCCTGAACACTTAACGTGAACCACATTCTCTGAGTTGAAGCACCTCTCTGCCTTTGCTGTCACCAACATAGGTGGCTTTATGCAGTCAGCTTTATTCCATCAGAGGGCTACTGAGACTACTCATGCCCAGCTTGGCTGCCATCTGCACCTCCAGCGTTGTTTGGTGGGCAGCTCTCACAGAGCGGGCCCCGGCTGCTGCCACGGTGCTGACACCCACTTTACACCAGTGTGTCGCTCTGCACTCCCCGGCTCCCTGCTTGCTCCCCGGTAGCGCTTTCACCTGCATGTTCATCACGTTCTTGTCTGCCACTACAGGTCAGAAACAATTCTCAGTCCACAAACTGATTCAGGGTGGTTTATTCCAAAAACAGACCAAACAAATTTCACTATTTCCTCTGCTGCTTCCACCTCCTCGTGCCTGGACTGCACAGCTGTCTTTGCACACTTGATGGAGGACTTCTTCACAGCACACAAGCTCTTTCATCTTTACCATGATCAGAACAAGTCAGTGCACCTTTGCTATTTTGCAGTCTCTTTTAAACTGGGGTGAGCTGAACTTTCTATGCAAAGATTTGACCTCTCCTGAAATCCCTTGATCAGCAATTTCCCTTGCTCGTTCTTTCATGTTTGAGGCATTATGAAACACTGGAAACTACGCATATTTTCATAAGGAAGTTAGTGAGAAAATTCAAATAATCAACTCAGTCCCAAGAGACTTGGAGCCTCTTTCCAAGTTTGAAAGCTCTTTCCTAACAGAAGTTTTGCTCTTGAAAGTCTTCTGGTTAGCAGGCAGCTGACGATATAGCTTCTCTGGAGCCTGATTATACTTTCAGCCCAGAGGCAAGTAATAAAAAAGCCTGCCCGTCTCTGTGAGATCCAAATCAGGTGCTAACACTGAACATCTGCTGAGGCCTCTGCTCTCCTCTCCCCCATCCTCCTCCCATGCGCTGGGTGTTGGAGCGTTCCCCATTTTATAGCTCGTGGCAAGGAAAGGCCAATTTAAGAGGCAAAGCATTGCTGACAGCCTTATCCAAAAAAACCACACTCTGCTTTAACTGCTCTCCATCCAAGACTTTGGTGAGTCCACCACCACCGTGACATGCTGAAAAGATCTGCATTGTATGGCAGCCTTTGGAACAGTTACCAGCAAAGCACTCACAGCCCAACCTGAGCGAGACAAACAGACTCTACATGTACGTTTATTACCTCATACAACCAGACTGCTTATTGTACAAAAAACAACAGTGCCACCCAAGAGGGCCTTCACAGATGTTTAGAAAGAGACACGTAAACACAGCTTTAAAACATGTTTTTTATGTAATTTAGGTACAAACTACTGAAGCACCACGCATTGTGTGCATATATATACACATACACACGTGTGCGTGTATCTCCATACACATACACAGACTGAACAAACTGTCGCAGCAGGCTGTGATACACTCGTACATTGCTCTCTGAGGAATCCATTATCCCTACACAAGGGTTTCCACCAGTGGGACATGAACTGGACTTACGCTGAGCCGTAAGCTCATCCTTAGGGCCTTGAGTTGCTGCCACTGTTGGCCTGACCTTTCTTCCCTGGTTGCTCCTTGCTGCACTCGCTGCTGGCTCCCCTCTGGAGTTAATAACCTGATCTCCAAGCCCACCTAGGTGACTGCACCAGTGTGACTTGGCAAAGACACAAGGGTCAGCACTCAGGGTCATACCCCCATCCTAAAAGTCTCAGGAGGGAAGGGATGGTCTCAGTCTTCCCTGATCTAGCAGGGCTCAAGTCACGCGTGTAGTGCTTGGGCACAAACATTGTACATACAAACATCTACAGCCTGGAAACTTTCACTTTTCTGTTCTGCAGCAGTAAAGGATAAATGGACCTGTACAGGAAAACACACATGGAGTAGAAATCACGACCTTTAAAGAAAAAGACTGCAGCACCTGAATACTTCCTACTAGAGGGAATGCCCAGTACAGGGAATTTTGCTTAACATCCAGGAGGGAAGTTTAATGCCTTAAGGTAGATGGTTCATCAAAGAGCTAAGGAACAACATTTTTGCTAAATGCTGTGCTTTCATCAGCAAGCTGCTTGCAATATGAAACCAAGAAAACTGGTACTTAGACCTTTGTAAGCAGCAACTGCTGAATCCCAGCACTGTTCCTGGGCAGCTGAACAGGGTAAGTTATCGGCATTCACATCTAGTCCCTTCTAGATCTTGCTTGTGTAGACTAAGCTCCTCGGGCAGCAATTGCCTCTCCAGTGAGAGACCGTGAAGTGTTAATCTGGCATTGGCCACAAAAGATTTACATAGCTTTACTGATTTCTACTGCAGTAAAACAAACCAAAAAGAAAAGAGTAACGGCTGCAGCCTACAGCTTTCATAAGGAAGAAATGGCAGACTGCAGCAATGTTTTCAAAGCTTTCTCTGTAAAGGTCCAGTTATTCCCTGGGAGGAACAGACTAGCCCTGATAGGAATTTATCCAAAAATTATTGTCAATATGGCTTCTGCTTGCTCCTCTTACAGTGCAGAGAGAACTGTTACTTTTAGTCTTATAGCTGCAGGTATCGTGAATCCCAAGGGCTCTACTGTGCAGTTAGTGCAAACCGGTCAGGAAAGCAGCATTTATTCTCCCTGTAGGTGAAGAGGGTAAAAGCTGGTTTTCTTTCTGCACTAATCTCCCTGAGCAGGAGTGTAACAGGGCCCAACACCAGGCAGCAGAGATGCTCTGTCCCTGAAAAGATGTGAACAGCAGCTGTGTCTCGATCAGTCTGGGGATGCCAGAAGATATTTTTCTGGAGTGTCACATGGAAACACGCTTCTAAAGTCCTGACTGAGTTTCATGTCAAGCGCAAGATCGACAGAATCTCCATGGTGTTTCTCCACACAAATTGGGGCAGCCCTTTAAAATGATGGGATCAATCTGAGACATGGTCTTCACATACAAAGAAAGAAAAAGCAATACTGACAGACAAAGCAGCAATGGTAAAACAGCTTCAAAATTTGCTCCCGCAATCAGACAGATGCTGCAGAGCTGTCATGCACATATCCTGACAGTCCTTGCTATTGAACAGTAAACACTGAGCAGCATTTGCCTTAGTGGTTCACATGTCATAGCCCAAAAGACCAGCGTGCTGAATTACTGACGTTATTGGGAACTTCCAAGAATTAGCAAAAAGGAGCAAATAAGGATACACTCCCATTCAAGAGCAGGTGTTACTGTTTCTTACTCCAGTTTGCCACATCTGGCTATGCCACTAGGAGTCTCAGCAGAGAGCCGAAGGGCAGGATACCTACCAAAACATGCAGTAACTCACATCCACCAAGACACTTCAGGCCAAGCTTACAAAATCACCAAAGATCTGAGAGCTTGCATATTCTTCTGTAAATTTGACCTCTCTTCCTCATTCCTCCCACAGGAAACCTTTGCTTGTCAGACTCACGGCCCGAGTCTGTGAAAAGCTCATATAGTCAGCATGACAGTTATACTCTAGAGAAAGGATTTCTCATGCTAGAGTTTAAAACCCAACCCTTCTCATTCCTGTGCTTGTACATGGGAGGGGAAGAAACAGATAAGAACATAAATGAGATCATACAGATTATTTTCCCCTCAATCAATAACATTCATACATTTTTAAGAAATTTTCATTTAAAAAAATTAAGCATGAACAGTTCTACAACATAAACAGGTGCAAATCCCATTGCCTAGTAAAGAAAGGAAAGAGTCCATGTCTAATCAAAAGAAGTCCACAGCCATGTGTTTTAAGGACAGCCTTGTTTTTTACAGACAGCCTTGATATTAGTGTCTTTACTGTGTTAAACTCTCGGTATTTAAATAATATCTAGACAGCATAGACAAAGTATAGGATGATACATATGCATGAAAGTGCAAGATACAACTTAAGTCAAAGTGCCTACTGGTCAAACTTCAAAGTGTCTACTGGTCAAACTGGTACAAACTATGTTCAGAAATCAAGCATAAACCGGACTGAGAGCACTCAAGGCCCTTTTCCTCTCATTTCCATCAGAAGTCGTCACAGGTAACATCAATCCAGTCTGAAGTGACATCAGTTCCAGATGGGCGTACATGAGAGGAGAGTCAAGCCCATGTCTTGATGGAAAACTGATCCTCATTTTCTCTGTGTCATGCAAATTAATCCACAGGCTTTGCTCTGAATATTTGAGCAGAGAGACAGAGAACAGTAACTTCGATGCCACACTCAAGGGAGGCAGAGTCAGCAGCTCAACAAAAATTTAGCACTTAAGAGCAGGGGGTATAGCAAGCCCTTAGCTCCTCTGGAGTCACCATCCCCCAGCTGATTTATTGATTCCAGCCATGACAGATGACTATGAGGAGGTTAAGTAACACTGCTCTTCATTGGAAAAATAAAAAGATTATCCTCACAAGTATAATTTTTCCCTTCCTGTTTGTCTTATTTTACTATTTCAGAGATAAAATATCTTTTACAATATCAGCTCATTATTGTATTCATTCCCTTTAAAGGCAAATGGAGTTTAAAAGATCTTGTAACCAGAAGGGGGTGGGATGGGGGCAGAGGCAGACCTTTTATTAAACCTTTTAAAAGATTTCTAACTCATTTTGCAAGTGAAAACAACAAAAGCCATAAAACTCTAGCAAAGGAGAGCTGTCACTGAGATTAAGCAGATCCAAACTCCGCCATCCATTTTTCATACTTCTCCAGGTCTGCAGCAGAAACAGATTTGGAGATTTTCTTCAGAGCCAGCTCAAAGTCCCCCTTGGTAACCGGCATCTGAAGCTCCTCTTTAGAAAGTGCACGAATCTCTTCTGGAGTTAAGCCGTTAATACGTCGTCTCATTGCCATTAAAGAGGCATCCCTGGAAATACAGGACAATGTATGGGAGCTAATTGCTAGCAGCATGTGCTGTAAAGTCTATGAATTTTGATTGTATTCTCTTGCTAGAAATCACTGGCAGAAACACTTAAAAGAGCATTCATTTACCATAGAAGATGCGGTTCACATCTTTCTTAGCTTCCATGTTCCCAGATCACTACATTAATTCAATGCAAAGAATGCACTGGCACCAAAACCCATTTAAGCATATGGTAAATGTGCAGAGATAATTAAAACTATAAAACTGAAAACCTTTTACAATGATTCATAGAGATGAAATTTTACAACTTCAGTGCAGGAAAGGGCAGGGTGGGAGAGAAACTGCACTCAAAAACTTTTTTTTTTTTTTTGAAGTAGTCTGGATTTTGCACCCCCATACTCCTAGATTTCAACCTTCTCCCCAGTGTGCAGCCCAAAAGGACAGTCACCAAGTGTTCGGAGTGCAGCCCAGCTCTGTTGTCTGCTCACACACAGCACGTGAATCTGCAAAGGGCAGAGCAGGAGGCATCAGACACTAGCGTCACCTGGCCCTGCAGAGCTGAGGCCATCGGTGCCCGTGGCTCCTCATGCTCTACCTGCTCCGTGATTCCTCCCCAGCTTGGATGCTGCCAGTGTGGCCCACTGGCACAGAGAACACTGCTCATTTCTCACACCACGGCCCACATGCAGTCTGAAATTATATTTTCTCTTTCCCCAGGTTTTTCCCAGCAAGGGATAACACAGGCCTCAGGGAAAACAGGTAATTTAACTATTGCACTGCTTGACACACACCAAGTTTTCAAAACCATGGAGTCATTTCACAATTTCAGCAAAGCAGCAGGGGAAGAAAAAAAAATCCCAAGCCATGTTCTTACAGGATCAGTTTCTCTTGGCAGGGATCCTAACGTTATAAGGGACATAGACTTCCTTCCGGTAAGTTTTTTCAAATACCTATCCCCCAACAGAAGACTCAGTTGTCAAAAAATGAAACAAATTGTGAGAACAGGATGGACATAAATTCAATACTAATGCTATAAACTATCTGTATCACCCTTGCACCTAGAAGATTCAGGTAGAAATCAAGACCTTGCTGCACTGGGGGTTGTCCAAGCATACAGCATGTAGAATCCCCAAAGAAGTATCCTGTGAAAGTTTCCTTTGCATCACAAAATTCCAGCTCTTAAACTCATGTGATTTAAAAAAAAAATATTAAAAATCCAGACCTGTTTTGCACTACAATAACAAATGCAGACAAATGCAGCCAACGGTAACATGAGATTTACTCAGAGAATTTTTTTCTCTTCAGATCTAAGAAAACCATATGTCACAGAAAGACTGCATGGTCTTTAGACCACTCTGCATGACAGTAACACATGGTTCCAGTAAGTACATTTGGGTCTCAAACACAGTCACTGTTAGCATGGCTTCAGCTATCATGGGTATTGCCTTTTATCACATAATGCAAATGATGACTTTCCATGCAGTTTTATTTGCAAATGAAGGGGAATGAGATACCTGCAAACATTAGTGATGTCAGCACCAGAATAGCCTTCAATCTTCTCAGCAATTTCTTCAAGGCTGATATCAGGATCCAGTTCTACTTCCCGAAGATTAATCTTAAGTAGTTCTGCTCTGCCTTTTGCTACAACATAAAAATACTTGTTTGAAGACTTGCAAGAGTAACATTAAAAAAAAGACATAAACATGACGTAAATCCTTTTGTTTGTACTTTTCACTGAAAAATCTAATATAAGAAAAGGAAAGAGACAGAACAAACCACAGTAAAGTATGCAATCAAATACAGTAAAGTATATGGTTAAAAGCAGTATATTAAAACAGCATGCTCTAGAGACATGTTCCAAAGTCATACGTCATTAAAAGTATCTGTTATGTCTCAGGTGACAAAGCATTTGGTCACACACTGCCCAAGGGCACAAAAGCACAATCCTACAAATATCTGCTTCTTCTCACATCCCTTTGGATTCACTCACTGTTCAAGTGTTTGATTGGGTATTATTCACACAGTTTCATCAGAACCACAATGAGGATTCTATTAACAGAGCGTCAGACACCACAAACCCCTTAACAATAGGCTGAACTTTAAGCATATGTTTAAGCACTTTAATCAGTTGGGACCCAAGAAAGCTGCTGAAGCCTGATAGAAAACAGATACATTAATACAGTAAACGTATTAATATATTTACAATACAAATGTCCTGGTATCCCACTTTCAGACCTAGATGCAGTGTGCACACAGTGATAACTAGCTGTGTAAATGAGCACGAACACTTACGCAGCCAATTAACCATTTTTCTTGTAGAGGGTGTGTGCATATGTGCATTTGGATACATATGTTAAGCAGCCTAGGCTTATAACAGGGAATTCACATTTGACAGCTTAGGCCTCAGTGTTACTCTGCACAAGGGTGGTAAAGAAGAGGACGAATGCTTTCCTGGCTTTTCCTGTAGCAGAAAAATATACCAGCTCAGCATCTTTATTTCCACAGTGACCAATTTTTATGACCTAGAAAAGAGGACAACCACAACAGAAGAAGTAGCAGTAGGAAAGGCTAAAAGTCTTAAGGAAATGTCCACACTTATGTTTTATTTCTTGATGTCCCTAATTAAAAAAAAGGGGGGAGGGGAAATATAAAAGAAATTAGAAAGCTTGTCTAAAGCTGCTGGTTTTGAGTGCTTTGCAGAACTGTCAAGAATATAGAGTTATCGATCACACGCAACTGGCACTGGCTATAGAATGGGGATTTATTATTTACAGAGCACAATGTACATATGGCATGCCTGCCAAGAGCATCCTGTATCCTTCTAATCTTTGCTATGGGGATAAGCAAGTCCTTGCAGTATTTCGAAAATAAAACATGGTAGAATATATACTTGCATCAAATTCCACAATATACAGGTGTGTATGTGACATATCACATCACTTTTTCAATTAAAATGCCTGACCACATCAAATCACACAGCACAGTTAGTTATAAATGCATCATGTAGACTTGCCCAGAACAGCTCAACATTCTTATTTACAGAATAGATGCAATGGAACATAAGATTGGAAATAAAACTGGAGCACGTCTCGCATGTTGTCCAGGGTGTAATACACTGTGTCAAAAAACAATCTGGTTTAATTAGAAACAAGAGCAAGAGCTGATAGGATTTTAAACTAATTGGTCATAAAGACAGGCATCCTGTTAGGAGCTGTTACTGCCTGTAAGCTGCAAAGACAAGCTGTAGAACTATTAAGTGTCCTTATACCTGCTAAACTCAATCACAACTGCTGTCACCATGAACACGCATCTTGTTATCTTGAGTGCTCATGCAGGGAGATGAGGCATCCACTGTTCCAAGAAGAAACGAAGCTATGCAAACTTCAGGTGATAGGAATCTCAAAATTAATAGGACAGGTGAATGACAGCTAGGAAAGACAATACAAGCAGAGACGTCTTAGGGCAGGAAAGCAATGAGCCTGCTGCATTCTGAGTGACTTGAAGCACAGTCATAAAGGCAAGCAAGCAGTGATTTACAATGAACTAAGCCTGTAAGTGAAAATTCATGGATCCACTTCTTTGCATTTGTCTGCAAGGGCATGGAGTACATTTGCAATATTTCTGAACATGTCCAAAGACTGCCTTTGATGATCACTCAAGGATTGACTGTTAAACATTTAAAATAATTCCAGGCTCATTAAAACTAGCTCTCTTTCAAAATGTAAGAGCCCATCAATGTGCTTGCAATGAATGCCACAACTCTTTGTTTTTAAGCCCCCAAGCAAGTAGTATTTTTTTTTCTTTCTCTCACTCTCTTTAAAAACAAAGCTACCCAGTCAAATGATTAACCCCTGAATTTCACTGCTCATCACAAAAACATCAAGCTTCCTCCCAAATCCAACAGTCCTGCAGCAGTCTTAAGCTTGTCTTGCAAAGGCCATTTTAAAGGAAAATGCTTGTAGCAAACATACCTGTGGGCAAAGGTATATAAATCCTCTTCTCCAGTCTCCGTCGGAGAGCTTCATCGATATCCCAGGGAAAATTTGTAGCTGCTAATACCATAACCATCTTGGAAGGGTCATCATTTTCCAGAGCACCACCTACCCCTGCAGGCACACCAGTTTAGAGAGACTTCACTCCACAGGTCTTATTGATTGAGATGCTTGCTAAGAAACACTGCACAAACACTGCAAAAGCCTGGACAAAGCTAAGCAACAGTTTGATGTAGTCCCACTGCTGCCTCCCAAACTTCCCATAACTTAGGTGTGACAAGATCATCGCTGTCACAGAAAGGGGAACAGTTCATTCTTTTGCTGAGTCAGGGGAGGGCTCTCTTTGTGCTAATAACACAGTCATATGTGAGTGTAGCCTTGCTAGTCCCACTAAAAGTGCTATCTCTGTCAAATCTGACCACAGAAGAAACAGGAATCACTCCTTGGCCTCCCAAATGAGAACTGCAAAGAAATTATCAATATGAGGCAAAAAGTTGCCTACTCTGAGTTTACCACAATGAACCTGTGCATTTGAGGACATTATAGTTAAACAATACAGAGGTGGTTATCAGACCACTACGCCATACAATACTCCTCAGATTGTCATCCTCATTATGTGCACCTGCACAGAACAGGTACTAAACCTGACTAAAAGGGGAATATTAGCTGCCACCACAGAATACAGCAAAATCAGACCTCACAATGGAGTTCCCAAGCTGGAGACTCTAGCAAAAGGGAGAAATTTGTTTAAATTGCATCAGAATTAAAGACTTTTATTAAACTGCACAAATCTCCATTATCCGCTTCTCCTTGAGTCTGTGTCTCTTAAATATGAGTTTTCAATTTACCACCAAAATGGCTATTTTAGAAAAAAATAAAGCACAACCCCCTTTTCAGTCATCTGCCTTTGAACACTCCACAAATAAACTACTCTCAAATTCTGCCTTATTTTTCCCCCATCCATAAAGCCAAATTTTCCATATTGCTCAAGTTCTTACATTCCCAGCTGTAAAGAAACAGCACCCCCAGCCCCAAACTCAGATCTAAACACTTGTTACCGTCCATTTGCACAAGCAGCTCTGACTTGACTCTGCGACTCGCCTCATGTTCATCGGACGTGCCTCTGCGGCTGCAGATGGAATCTATCTCATCAATGAAGATCGTGGTTGGAGCATAAAACCTCGCCTTTATTCAAACGAAAACATCACTATTAAGGCTGCAGCAGCAAACACAGGCCCTCATCAGACCATGACCCAGTCCCACTAGAAATACTATGTACATATCTTCCCTGCCTGTCACAAGAAAATAATTCAAAATAATTCAAGATGTTGTTTTACAAACTGTTTTGGCATACGGTTAAGTTTAAATTGTACTCCTCAAGTCAGGGGTCTTTCAGTGTTGGTTGGTTTTCCTCAGCAACTAGTCTTGCAAAGGGCAAAAAGGAATACAACCAAAATACAGGTAGTTCTTCATATCCACGTTTTTCTGCGGTGAGGGGAAAGCCCAGGGGAGAGAAGGGAGTCTCAACAGAGACAGGTTTTAACTGAGAGTACGGTAGAAGTGCAGCAAGGATCCCAAGGAGGTGAATGACCCTTCTGCATAGGTCCACATGGGCACGTCCTTCAAATACCCCGCACGATGGACTGCACCCAAAACTTCACTGAGAGGCTTGTGTCCATCATTCAGAACAGAAACAGAACTAAAACATGTATTGCTTCTAGAATAACAGTTCCCAATTCCTTCCAATTTCAAATCTACTTCCTATGGGCTTATCCCATAACCAAGTAAGAACTGAATTTCTGTCAAGCTCATGACTCTGCATCTAGTCTGGAAAATGCTATCCTAAACACAGGTGATGAACCATTTCCTTCTTAATCCTCAGCGACATAGCAGCAAAGGATGGAAACACAGAGACTGTGCTTTTCTATCTGTTTAAGGGGTATCAGTGCAATGAACTCCGTGCTTCCAACATGCTCCTAGAGGGGCAGGAAACCAGGTGAGATGTCCCTTCTCACCTTAGTGATCCCTAGATCACATCATTTGAGGACATACCATTTCAAACAAGAGACGGACCAGCTTCTCAGACTCGCCCCTGTATTTAGACGTCAGGGTAGAGGAAGACACATTGAAGAATGTTGTGCCACATTCTGTAGCAACAGCTTTCGCTAGCATTGTTTTGCCAGTGCCAGGAGGACCAACCATCAGCACACCCTGAAAGGTGAAAACAAAGGTAATGAATAACAAATAAAGAAACTTTGCAATTGGTACTCTACACTACATTGGCATATGATCCAAGATCTGCATTTTAATTGCTTAATAACGTAATTGCCATCAGTGGAAAACAAAAGACAACAATCCCGCTTTTGAGAACAGCATGGAAGTGCTCTGGGATTTATTCTTCTTACCACTCCACTGGAGTATGAATCACAAAAGCCAGTAACTGTTGCTGCACCTATCATTTGGGAAGTGGACAAGAGATTTACAGCCTTGCCTGAATTAGACAGAGCCTGGGCTTGAACTTAGGCCTTTCCCAACTCATGAGGGCCTGCACATGCAGGTGAAGAGGGTGAATTCTGCATTTTGTAACAAAGGCCCCTTCATGAAGAAAGCTTCACAGAAACCAAAATACTTTTGCAGAAAGTTGTGTCCACTCAGTAGAGCATTTTTCTATAGAAAAACATTTTGCCTAAAAATCCTGATGATGCGAATATATGAATGTGGTTGGTTTTTACATTTAAGTATGAATGACAGCACTCACTGAAAACAAGCGTTTGTCATACTGTTTAATCTTTCCAGCTCAGTACTTCTGCGGCCATACTACTGTATCTTACCAATTCCTGGATGAAACACCATCCTTGCCTGTTGGATGGCAGAAGAGCACTGCTATTTCTGTTTCACAGATAAGCAATCATGGCTCGTGTGGACTACTGCTCAGTCCCACAAAAGCCTAATATGAACCTCAGTGATTATTCAAAAAGCTTTAAACTAAAATTGTTAAGTCCCAGGTTGGCATCCGCATCACCAAACTGTCTTTCTATCTGTGGTCTATCCAAAAGACAGAGTAAGGAGCACACATCTCTGAAGCTCTGCACATTTATCCATCATTATTCAAGCAGGTTTTTAGCTAGACACACAGTGCTCTCAGGACCCATGTTAACATTGTAGCACCGAGACTGGTTAATCACTCTTGATAATATTTCTAAATACAGTTATCTTTATGGATAGTCTTTCCAACCCTTTCAGCAGCAGTGCTGGAGAGGGACAACACACTGTTCCATCCCTGTACAGCACTAGAATAAGGCACTGTGACTTTGAGCATTGCACTATGAAAATGTAGTGCTCAAGGAGCTTGGGGTTTTTTTGCTATTCAACCACAAGACCTTATTACATTTGTTAACAAGAGTTTCCTAAAGTAAAGTTGTACTGTGTTGCAAGGGTAATCAAATTAGCTAGAATCAGAATTGCACATCATAATGTGCTTTGCAATTAATAACTTACATAAAATGCCACAGCAATAAAATATCTGTTAAATGCAAGCCACATCGTAAATGAGATTTCATCTGTTCCTCACAAAAATTTACTTCAAAAAGCACAAAGAATGACATGGAAGAGATCTATAAAAACAAATCAACCGGGAACACAATTATTCAAAAATGTACTATTCAAAAGCAATAGCCTCTCTGTACTCCATTTTCCATTAACTCTTAATACCTTTATTGCTATTTAACACTTAGCTAATGCAAGCTCAACATACATTCACTGGTAAATTAAGTCAGAAGCATTCACACTACATCCATACAACTAACAGTCCAATGTCACTCCTCAGGCTGCTTGAGGTTTCCTAAGCTCCAGAGCAGCAAGCATAAAAAGTAAATGGACTCTTTTTCTCCCCATGAACATTCAGACATACAGTGTGGTTTGACTTGCTGCACAATTATATTGATATTATAATATTGCATGTACAACCCTGGAGTAACTGGGTAAAATTACTCAGCCTGTGATATGCAGGTCAGAGATGACTTAATTGTTCTCTCCGAGTTTCAAATGCATTTAATATTTTAAAACAAGCTTCACCTCAATTCAAATCAGACTTGACTCCTGTGTTTGACAAACTGTGTTTACTGCTGGACCTGGTGATAAAAGGGACTAATGTCTTTTTCTGGATATTGCTTTGGTCCTCCATTATTATGGAAGGTCAGATTCTGGCTTCAGCTACACATGCCACTCACTGCCAAAATCAAAGCCCATCGCTTTGCACCTCCTGTGTAACTATTACAGTGAGCGTTACCTAGCACATGATACTGGTGGCATTATAAATTTGCATAACATGGATGCAAAGCAGCCACACCAGGTATAAAGCCAGGGAAAACCCAAGGTCTCTGGGGATAAAGACAACAAAAATATCAGTTAAAAAAAAAAAGAAAAGAAAAAAAAAAGAACTTGAGTTCTCAGCAAAACAAGATGCACACAGTTTCAAACAGAAACACATAGGATCAAGTTGCTCTTTCTCTCTGCAAACTAGGAGGCTGCCACTTACTCACTAGTTAAAATCCTTGACAAACACAAAGACTTCTTTATTCTTCCTCTAAGGCTCTGTTAAGCCAAAGTATTCCAATAAGAAGCTGAAATGCACCGCAGGGAGTAAGTGTTTTGATGAAATCACTGCAGGGTTACTTCTTGTTGTTGTAACAATCACTAGCAGAGCAGTGGGAAGCACAGCGAGCAAACGGACTTTCTTGGCACAAAACAGTTCGGAGAAAAAGAAAGAGCAAGCCCATGGACACTCAGAAACCCAGGGCTGCAACTACACAGCACCTGTGTTGAATCAGGGAAGACAGCTGGCTCCTTCATACAAGGCACCATCCTCTGAATGCAGGCACAAACTGTGAGGGCTGTCTTGGGAATTGTTCTCAGGAGAGTCTGAACATCCAAAAACAGATTTGGCTGCCTTTTCCCTGAATTATTGTCCTGAATGCCTAGGCTCAACAAATGCCTGCTGCTACACTGATTACTGCAAGAAATAGTCTTCCCTTCAAAACTTCTCATCCTTGTAGCACAGTCAGAGGTCAACAGTAGGGAAAATACATGCTGTTCTGTGTGAAAAATAAATTCAGCAGAGTTACAGCTTCACAAGTCACCAGGGAAAAGGCTAACAATGCAGACTCTTCATGGACTCGTCAGAAATCAATTTGCATTTCAGACTGAAGAGAGGAAATAATCTTAGAATTCTTTTCCATGTCTACAAGCACCTAGTTTTCAGAGGCGACACTGCTCAGTAGGAAAAGATAATCTCAAAGAGATGGAGACTGTAACTCTTTAAAAGATCGGCCTGTTGTTTCTTTATTCACTGCCACAATACTTGGAGACAGGGCCAGTGGCACTCTTCACGTTGTCTGCGGTCTGCTGAGATACCTGTCCTAAGGACAGATGGCCACTGCATCCTCTGGGCATGTTAATAGGCAAAAAACCCCAACATAGCAACTCTACTCCCTTAGAAGTTTTTGAGACTGGATAGATGGGGCCCTGTAGTCTATAATAAGGGTACGGGTCAACTTCCTCTATGCCAAGAGGAAAAAAAGAGAGATTCAGCCATCCAAAAGACCCTAAAATCTCCCCCTGCGATTGTAACCCACAGTATCTAGGCTCTGTCCAAGCTGATAGCTCGGTTGGCCTTAAGGTTAACCTCAAGCCCACTGGTACTGACACTCTAAACCCCAAAGGTCACATTAACCTGGGGCTAGGTTTGGGCTGCCCCCCTGCAAGTCACTAAAACCTCCATGAACAGCCCTCAAGCAGCAATCTCTCAGCTCCTGCCATCAGCTCCCCCTCTTTCCGACTTCCCCTCTATTGTCTGTAGACACGAACCCCAAAGAATGACAAGTCTTCCACTTATCAGTTCCCGAAGGGCTTTGTTTCTTAAATAAGCAGAATAACAAGGATCTAGGACCGGCTCAGGGAGGAGGACAGCTTTTAGGGTCAGACCTAAGCATAAGCCAAGCAGGATAAAAAAGGGCAAGTGTTAGTAACACAAGATCTGACATATGCTGCTGA